TGAGCTGCTCTGTCCTGTCCTGTCCTGTGAGCTGCTCTGTCCTGTCCTGTGAGCTGCCCTGTCCTGTCCTGTGAGCTGCTCTGTCCTGTCCTGTCCTGTGAGCTGCTCTGTCCTGTTCTGTCCTGTGAGCTGCCCTGTCCTGTCCTGTGAGCTGCCCTGCCCTGTCCTGTCCTGTGAGCTGCTCTGTCCTGTCCTGTGAGCTGCCCTGCCCTGTCCTGTCCTGTGAGCTGCTCTGTCCTGTCCTGTCCTATGAGCTGCTCTGTCCTGTCCTGTGAGCTGCTCTGTCCTGTCCTGTCCTGTGAGCTGCCCTGCCCTGTCCTGTCCTGTGAGCTGCTCTGTCCTGTCCTGTCCTGTGAGCTGTCCCTGTCCTGTCCTGTGAGCTGCCCTGTCCTGTCCTGTCCTGTGAGCTGTCCTGTCCTGTCCTGTGAGCTGCCCTGTCCTGTCCTGTCCTGTGAGCTGCCCTGTCCTGTCCTGTCCTGTCCTGTCCTGTCCTGTGAGCTGCCCTGTCCTGTCCTGTCCCGTGAGCTCCCCTGTGAGGGGCCCACGTGTGAGCGCCTCACACCTCCTCCACCACCCACAGGAGTGAGCCGACATTCCCCAGCCCCTCAGATGATGCAGCCCCAGCTGATATCTTGGCTGCAGCCTCATGAGGGACCCTGAGTCACGACCACCCAGCTCTGTCTGTTCCTGTCCCCCAGAGCCCATGACAATAAGGGTTTGCTGCTGGGGGCCGTGATGCACTGATGGACTGGGAACACAGGCCTCCTCTCCATGCCTCTCCACCCATCAGGGCTGCAGAGGCGACCTCATCTTCATCTGTTTACTGCCTCTGCCTTCCTCTGCAAGGACACGGGGCCTCTCAGGGGCACTGCAGGTCTCTGGAGCTAAGGCTGACAGGGTCTCCGGGCACAGTGGCTGAGGTGCAGCAAGGCAGCAATGCCAGGAGCCCCATCATTGTGGGACATCCTGCGTGTGAGAGGTCAGGACACACCAAGGAACAGGGACAGACCCTGAAAAGACCTTCCTGGTCCCTGCCCAGCCCCACCCCAACTGCCTGCCAATCGGCCTCACAATGTCACTCCACCTCTAGGAGCCTCAACTTCCTCCTCGGTGGACAGGGGATGACAGGAACAATGAGCCCCAAGAATGTGGAAGGAGACATGGTGGACACCTGCCCAGGGGAGCTGATCAATAAAGCTGCTTCTCCCAGCACCTGCCTGAAGGTATACTGTGAGGCTGTGAGCGCCCTCCACTGGGCGGTGCTCAGGGGCCACCCCGGGTGCATGGACGGAAGGGTGCCTTCCCTAGTACATGAGGCAGCCCTGCGCACAGGAGCCCCGTGCAGGGCCTGGCCCCGAGCAGGCTCCAGGAAACGTGTGTTGTGTGACCCCACCTCACATGCTGACAGCAGGGTCACATATAAACCGAGGATGGCGTGTTCAGAGGACACCAGGGAACCTCATGGCGCATCCTTGCCAATCATAGGACAGAGGAGCAGCACAGCACACAGTGAAGGGGTGGGCAGGACTCAGACAGAAGACACCTGTGTGTGCGCGTGATCGTGGCATCGGCATGGACTGGGCAGCAGGTGGCGGGAACAGTTCAGAGCCCTCTGGTTTCCTGCCCAGGGGGACGAGAAATAAGAACAGGATGACTTTCCAAACTGGCGTGAATGGGCGTGAGGTCACGGAAACAGCCTCACACCTGTTAACACACGTCCAGGGGACTGACCTCAGCAGGAGCCAGGACGAGGCTTCGCATATGCTCACGCTGAGGCCAGAGATGCCTTAGTCTGAGGTGGCCCAGACCCACCTGGAGAAGAGGCTTCTGGTACAAGTTTATGTGGGAGATGAAGGCAAGGGGGTAAGAGGTGAGAAGAGGAAATGATGCCTCAGTATGGCTGTTATCACACCACCCACCACTGTGCATGCAGCCCCTCTGAAAGGATCCTCCCACTGCAGGATCCCCCTACTGCAGGATATCCCACTGCAGGAGCCCCTGCTGTGGGATTCCCCAACTCCCCCATTGCAGCAGGGGGATATGGTCCACCAGGGAGCCTGGGAGTGAGTGCAGAGGGGCAGCTGGGGTCCTGGCTGAGTCTGCTCCCAGGGGAGGGTAAGCCTGTACACTTCAGCTGCCTCACAGGTGGCCAAGGGTCTCTGGCAGCAAGAGAAGTCCCCAGGCAGACAGTTGCTGGCAGTTCATGTGAGAGGAGACCAGGGCCAGGGGCTCTGACAGCCAGCGCTCTCTGGGATGAGAGAGAGCCTCCTGCCATCCTCACCTGAGCCACCATGTGGACTTCAGAAAGTCAAGGTGTGATTTGTCACCCTTGTCTCACTTCTGTGGTGGATCCTGCAGGTTGACTCATTCAGCATGTATGCCATCCCCACCCTCCATGCCTTGTGTATGTTAGTCTCTGGGAACCTCAAAGCTGCATTTCCCAGACCCCGGACAGCCGGGGCTCGGGAGGTGGCCGCGGCTCCTCGAGACAGGTGCTGGCCCGAGATCCAAAAGGTGGGAGCGAGCAGCACAGGGCGGTGTAGGGACGGGGCTCCTGGCTGGCAGCGAGCGTGGGGACTGGTTGCCTCACAGCACCAGCAGTGGTCTCTGGGCCCAAGCATCACAGACACTGGGTTTTCCGTGGCAACAGTCACGGGTGGGGTTGGGTGATTGTCCAGCTGGTGGCCCCTGGCTGTGGGGCATCCACTCTTGTTCCCTGGTGGTCCTGGAATCTCAGTCTTAACACCCAGGAATAAGTCCCCCTCTGCTCAGACCACAAAAGTGGATTCTCTCATCTATAACTAATCACTGTGACTGATACAAATTCAGGTTCTGAAATCACCTCCATTGTTTTCCTGTGTGGAAGACACACAGGAAACTTAAGAAAAACAAGTGAAAACCATCAGTAACCCCCCACCTGGAGGTAACCGCTGTAATAGTTTTGCATGTTTCCTATTTTTAAAATAGTCAAAACGAGACAGTGTGTATTATTCTCTGCCAGCCCCGCTCACTTAATGTCACGTACTGTGGATTATAAATGTGCCCCAGTGGCCTTGTCCATGAGACCTTCAGCTCCCGAGACAAGATCAGATTCCATTCGCTTTTTATAACCAATGTATTGAGCTGTAATTGACACAGGAAAAGCCGGACACATTTAATGTATGTGACTCAGTGACTCTGCGGATAAGGGTACGTGTGTGGAGCCAGCACCACAGTCTATGCCATAAACCATCCATCATGTCCAGGTCTCCTCCACCGTCTTCATTTATTATTGTGATGAGAACCCTTGACAGAAGGTCTACAATCTTGGCCAATATTTCAGTACGTAATGTGACATCACTAACTACAGGCGCCACGCCCTGCAGGTCTCTAGGACTGATGCACCCTGCACAACTGAAACTCTGTGTGTTTGACCACCACCTTCCTGTTCCCCCCTCCCCAGGCCTGGCAACCACCCTTCTACTCCTGTCTATGACTATTCTGATTCCTCATGTAAGTGATATTCTGGAGAATTTGTCCTTCTGTGTCTGGCTTACTCCACTTAGCATAACGTCCTCCAGGTTCATTCTCGGTGTTGCAAATGCTAGGACATCTTTTTAAGGCTGAATAATATTCCATTTTGTGTATATACCACCTTTTCTCTATCCATTGATCAGCCAATGCACGTTTAGGCAGCTTCCATGTTCCGGATGTTGTGAGCAATGCTGCAGCGAGCAGGGAGCACAGGTATCTCTTTGACACCCTGATTTCACTTCCTGGAGTGCATCCACAGAAGTGGGGTTGCTGGGTCATATGGTAGCTCTGTTGCTAATTTTCTGTCTGACTTTGGTGTCAGGGTGATGCTGGCTTCATACAATCAGTTTGGAAGTGCTCTTTCTTCCATTCTTTTGGAAGAGTTTAAGAAGGATTGGTATTAAATCTTTTTAAAATGTTTGGTAGAATTGCCTGGTAAAGGTATCTGGTTCTGCGATTTTTTCGTTGGAAGCTGCTCTGTTACTGAATACATGTTTTTATTTATTATTGGTCTGTTCAAATTTTCAGTTTATTCTTGATTCCGTCTTGGTCGCTTGTATGCTTCCAGGAATTTATCCACTTCTTCTGGGTTGTCCAATTTATTGGCATTTTATTGTCCATAATAGTTTCTAATACTTAAAAAATAAAAACTCCTGTAGCATTTGTCGTAATGCCTTCTCTTTCATTTATTATTTATTTATTTGAGTTTTCTGTTTTCCTATCTTCTAATTTTATTTATTTATGCTCTGAACTTTATTATTTCATTCCTTCTGTTAACTTGGGGTTTAGTTTGTTCTTTTTCTTCTTCCCTGGGGTGAAAGTTTACGGTATTTGAGATTCTCTTTTGTGGCGTAGGTGTTTGCTGATATTTCTTGGTACTGCTTTTGCTACATCTTATAAGGCTGTCGCATTTTCATTTCCATTTGTCTGAAATTACTTTCTAATTACTCTTTAAGTTTCTGCTTTGATCCAATGTCACCCAACGGTGTGTTGTTTATCGGGAAGGGTACAGCTCAGCAGTAGAGCATGTGCTTCGCATGCTCAAGGCCCCAGGTTCAATCTCCAGTACCTCCATTTAAAAAATAAATAAACAAATAAACTTAATTACCTCCCCCACAAAATCTTAAAAAAAAAGGAATTAAAAAACAGCGTGTTATTTAATTTCCATGTGTTTGTGAATTTCCCCATTTTCCTTCTGTTAATGATTTGTAATATCGTTCCATGTGGTCGGAAGAGATATTTGGGATGATTTCAGTTTCCTTAAATGCATCAAGACTTGTTCTGTGGTCTCTAATGTGATTTATCCTGGAGAATCCTTGTGCGCTTGAAGAGCAAGTGCTTTCCGCTGCTGTTGGATGTTTGATAATTATCTGTTTGGTCCACTGGTTTGCAGTGGTGTTCACCTCCTCTGTTTTCTTACTGATGTTTTGTCCAGCTTGTCTGCTCATTACTGAAAGTGGAGTATTCAAGTGTCCTGCTGTTACTGTGTGACTATCTATTTCTCCCTTTGGATCTGTAGACATCTGCTTTATGTATTTGGGAGCTCTGATGCTGGGTGCATACAAATATCTTTTTGTACAAAAATATTATATACAATTTTTAAAGGTTATTTTCCATTTACAGTTACTCAAAAATATCGGCCATGTTCCCCATGTTGAATAATACACCCCTGAGCCTGTCTTACAACCAGCAGTTTGTACCCCCTGTCCTCCCACACCAACATTATGCCTCCCTCCCATTCATTTGTTCTCTATATCTGTGAGTCTACTTTTTAAAATTATAGTCACTAGTTTGTTTCATTTCTTTAGATGCCATATATAAGTGATATCATACAGCATTTGTCTTTCTCTGTCTGACTTATTTGAGTTGGTATAAAGCCCTCCAAATCCATCTATGTTGCTGCAAATGGCAAAATTTCAGTGTATTTTATGGCTGAGTAGTATCCCTTTGTGTGTGCAGATATAGATATTTATGTGGGTGTGTATTTTATATAGATAGAAACACACATACATATATATATACACACCACATCTTCTTCATCCGTTCATCTGTTGATGGACTCTTAGGTTGCTTCTGTATCTTGACAATTATGCATAATACTGCTGTGAACACTGGGATGTGTATATTTTTTCAAAGTAGTTGTTCTGTTCTGTCAGATATATACCCAAGAGTGGAATGGGTGCACATATATTTATAATTGTAATGTCTTCCTGTTGAATACACCTTTCAATTTTTATACAATGATTGTCTTTATCTCATGTTATTTTTGTTTTTCAATTTAAAGACTATACTGTCTCCTATAAGCATAGTCAGCCCTGCCCTCTTTTGGTTCCCATTTGCGTGGGACCTTTTTCTATCCATTCACTTTCAACCTTTGGATGTCCTTAAGGATAGGGCGAGTCTCTTATGCACAGCATACTGTTGTAGCTTGTTGTTTTATCCATTCAGCCACTCCTTTTCTTTTGATTAGTGGGTGTAATCCATTTGAAGTCAAAATAATTGTTAATTGATTGTTGTAGTTACAGTTACTCTTAAGCTTCTGTCTGTTCAGTTCTCAGTCAGGGTTAAAAGTGACTTGGGCACAACCATTAGAGCACCGTGCTCTTCTGCATTTGTCTATATATTTACTTTACCAGTAAAATTTGTATTTCCTTGTGCTTTTGTGTTGGTGCTTACACTTTTGTCCCTTTGTTTCAACTTGACAAACCCCCTTTACACTTCTTGTACAGCAGGTCTAGTAATAACAATCTCCCTCAATCTTTGTCTGTCTGGGAACATGTACCTCTCCTTCATTGCAGGACAGTCTTACCAGGTGTAGAATTCTTGGTTGGCAGCGTTTTCTGTCAGCATTTGAATATATCATCCCACTCTCTCCTGGCCTTCAAATTCTGGCCTAAAAATTCTGCTGACAGTCTTAACGGAGTTCCGCTGTATGTGACGTAGTCCGTTTTCTTTTGCTGTTCTCAGATTTCTCTTTTTACACTTTTGACAGTTTCATTTTAAGGTGTCTCAGTGTAGAGCTCTTTTACATTCAAACTATTTGGGGTCTTTTGGGATCTATAAATCTAGAAGTAATTTTCCTTCCCCCGAGTTGGGGAACATTTAGCCATTATTTCTTTAAATAAGCTTTCTTCTCCTTTCTCTTCTTCTTCTGGAGCTCCCAGTCCCTACTGTACGTCCTGCCTGTGTCCCGTAAGTCCTGCAGGCTCTGTTCACTCTTGTTCGTTCCTTTTGACCTTTGCTCCTCTGAGCGGAGCAGTTCAGATTACCTGTCTTCAAGTCTACTGATTCTTGTGCTTAGTCAAGTCTGCGGTTGAAGCACTCTATTGAATGTTTCGGTGCAGTCATTGTATTCTTTGCTCCAGAATTTGTGTTTGTTTTTTCTTTTTTCTGATTTCTGCCTCTTTGTTGAACTTCACATTGTGAACATGTATTTCTTTTATGATTTTTGTCTAGTTGTCTATCTCCATTCTTTTCCAGCTCCATGAGCTTCTTTAAGATGATTACTTTGAAATGTTTGTCAGGCAATTCATCGCGCTCCATTTCTTTGGGCTCAGATACCGGAACTTTGTTTTGTTTCTTTGGTTATACCATGTTTCCCTGATTCTGTGTGCTCCTTTTAGCCTGGGTTGAAATGTACACACAATTGAAGAATTGATCACCCCTTTCAGCCTTTGTGCACTGCCTTCTGAAGGGAAAGACCTTCAACAGACACTCAGCTAGAAATTCTGGGAGTCAATCAAACTTCCTTTATAGATAAACCCACTCTACTCCTCTCACTCCCTCCTTGGGGAGCTAGACTTAGGACTGGGCGCCTTCTCCTAATCCTATGGAGCTGTTTAAGGTGCTGAGAACTGATTGCTCCTTTTCCCAAGGGCAGTGCCTTGCTATGCCAGGGCATTAGGGGTAAGCACCCCTTCCCTCCCTCCCTTTGGAATGGTATGTCTTAGAATTTTGTGCCTTTTTCCTATCTGACAGA